AATAAATTGTGTTTGTCAATTATCAAAACCTGTGAGTCAACACTTAACAACACAGAAAGGGTTGAACTCATGCATTCCAACAATTTCCCCCTTTTTGATAATGACAAACACATGGAGGATATGCTATCAACAAATAACAAAATAAGGCATATACTCCTATACTCTTCCCCCTTTTGGCATTATCAAAAATAATGCAACAAAAGAACTCATGCATTCCGGGGAGAGAAAAAAAATTTCAAAACAATTAAAAAAAATCACATTCCCCCTAAAATCATGCATTTCTATGAAATAAAATACTTCCCCCTTAAATTATGCTATCTTCCCTTAAAAAAAGCATACAAAAAGATTAACACATATAGGAAAAAAAATTTCCCTTACTATATGCAAATGTCCTATGTATATTCCCCAAAAAAAATTCATATAAGTCTCAAAGATAACATTTAATTTAAAAAAAAAGAATTTACTCCCCTTTGATGCAATCTCTTTGGCTAAGTGCTTGGAGCACCCACTACAAATTTGTAGTCTTCAAGCACGCCTTCCATGGTGCGTCACGTACCCGACCACCCATCTTGTTCTTCAAGAGCGATGAGGCAATCGTCTTTGGAAGGTTCATCATACTTCCACGAAAAGTATGCGAATTCATCTTGTTTGCTCATCTTCTTGAGCTTCGGGCACTCAAATTTTCGATGGCCAAGTTTTCCGCACTTGTGACATTTTAGGGTGTTTTTCTTCTTGCTCTTGTTTAGCTCATGTTTCAGAAACTCGTTAAAACATTCAACCAAAATATCACAGGAAGTGCTAGAATCATTATCACTATCACTATCCGAATCCGAATCACCAATCTCTACTTTTTGAGAAGAAGATGCTTTAAAAGCAATTCCTGTTCTCTTCTTAACGTCAAGAGTATGAGAAAGATGATTTGTTTCTTAAGTGATAAGGTTACCTCGAAGACCGTCGTATGTGATGACGTTGTAATCTCGGCCTTCATAAATGGAGTTAACCTTCGACTCCCATTCCTTGGTAAGACTTCGCAGAATTTTTCTCACTAACTCTTTGTCGGTGAGTGTCTTTCCAAGCATATCAAGGTCGTTGATGATGTTTGAAAATCTTCCAAACATGTCCTCCACAAGTTCGTTCTCTTTCATAGCAAATAACTCATATTCATGGGTTAGTAAATCAATTTTTGATTCACGAACTTGAGGTGTACCTTCGTATGTGATCATGAGCTTGTTCCTCATTTGATTGGCGGTTTGGCAACGAGATATCTTTTGATAATCGTTGGCGTTGACAGCACAATACAAGAAGTTTATGGCGGTGGCATTTAATTGAGCCTTCTTTAGATCGGCTTCATCATATTCATCCTCGTCCTTCGGGATGAGTGTATCGCCTATCTTCTTCATTGGCAAGCTATATCCATTCTTGATAGCAAGCCAAATTTTGAAGTTATTAGATTGAACAAAAATTCTCATACGCTCCTTCCAATAGGAGTAATTTGTTCCATCAAAAAATGGCGGCATTACGGTGGATTGCCCTTCTCCTATCCCTGCGTTCAACATTCTCAAAAAACATTTGATCGTTTTCTCAAACGTCACAAGGAGCGTTAGAGATACTTGCTCCGATACCAATTGTTAGACAAGGCGTGCAACTCTAGAGGGGGGGGGGGTGAATAGAGTTGTTGAGAATGTTTACCGATTTTCGCAGGATTAAATAAGATAAACGAAAGTGCAGCGGAAATAAAATAGAGAAGGCAAAGAACACACCGATGTATACTGGTTCACCACCTCGTGGCTAGTCCAGTTCCCCGAGAGACTCTCTCGAAGCTACCACTACTTCCGTTAAGCTTACGGGTGCTTAACAAACCGTTTACAACTCGAGAACTTGAATCCCACAAGCCTCGACACAACCGCTCGTAGATATGCTCTCTACAAGACTTCACAACCAAGACTTAAATCACATAAGCC